AACCGAAACACAAAATTTATACCCCTAAAATTGTATTCAAAATAAGCTGAAGACCAAAATGTAAATTTTAATGCTCTGAAACTATTAAAGATAGCATCAGAAAAAATATGGGCAATCTTTGGTTTGACAGTTTTTAGATGCAATCAAAAAACCAGTTCCTTAACAGATAAGTGGCAAATAAGTTGGACTTCATTAAAATTAAAAACTGTTCATCTACCACATTGTTAACAGAAAGAAAAGACAAGCCAGGAAAGAGGGAAAAAAAATCTTTGCCACACACAAATAAGAAAAAAAAAGGCTGCTCATACACACACATACACACACATAACTCTTAAAACCACAGCAGTAATATGTAAACAACCCAATTAAGAATTGGCAAAAAGCCCTACATGTCACCAGAAAGGAGAAGATATACATATGGCAATAAGCATACAAAAATATGCTCAACAATATATGTCATTAGGGAAATGCAAATTATAACAATGAGATACTCCTACATACCACTGGACACTTAAAAACATCAACACACTGTCAACACATTTCTTGCAATGATGTGACAGAACAGGAACTTTTCAGTTCATTACTAATGAATATACAAAATGATACAACTACTTTGGAAGAAATTTTTGTCCCTTTTTACAAAGCTTTGTATATTTTTTCCTGTTTATCCAAATGATTTAAAAAATTTCCTTCACATGAAATCCCCGACACCAAAGTCTGTAGTTTCTATATTGATTATGGTTAAATATTGGAAGCATGCAATGTGTATTTCAGTTGATTACTGCATAAACTTAATGTCATACAGTCATATTATAGGATCATGTTTAGAAACAATGACAGATGAACTATGAAATCTGGAATAGACTTGAGATCTTTAAGTGGTTTTAGCTACATGGAAATGCCTATGTGAAAAGCCTAAATATTGTAATGGATACAGGAAAAGCAAAGCAATAGAGATAGTAAAAGATTAATCGTTGCCCAAATTTAGACAGCAGGTATGGTGAAATAAAGCACAGATGATTTTTTTAAGATAATGTGACTATTCTATGCGATATTATAATGATATATATATATATGAAAATCCTTAGATATGTACAAGACAAAAAAATGAACTGTACGGCAGAGTTAATATTAAGGTGATGCTATTAATTTTGAATTGTAATGTAAGGTATGAAACAAAGACAATTGTGTGCTGGTAGAGTAGAGGTAAAATATAAGGACATTCTCTGTAATTTCAGTTTTTTCTGTAAAATGAAAACTGTTCTAAAAATAACATCTGTTAATTTTAAATGAGTGTGATCCTTTAACATAAAAAATTAGCTAAAACAGAACATTTGATTTTACATCAAACCATCAAAATGTGTGATAGCTGAAGTAAATTAAATCTGTACAGCAATGTAAATACTGCAGTGCAGTGGAGCCAGAGTAGAGCATACATGTAGAAATATTGTGTAATATCAACAACAAAATTATAATTTGGATGAAATAAAAAATTTGTACTTTACTGCACAGATGGTAAATAGTGCAAGTCCTACAATTAGGGTGAAAAGGCAAAAAAAAAAAAAACCAGTCAGGAAAACCAGGTACTGTTATGAAAAGATTAATGTCTAGTAGGTCAAGAAGACTTAGAAATTAAATCAGTGTAGGGTTCTGTGGAAGACTCAGACCATCACTGGAATCTGTATGGTTCATGGTTAGGGATGTTTCATGATAGGAACTGGTGGAATACCCAAACACATTAGAAAAGAATCCATAGATTAGGTAAAGATGCCCTTTCTGTTGATGGGAAAGAAATGACTCATTTTCAAGATTTTATTTTATTATTAAACATCTATGTAAAATATTTGTCATGCATGTAAGAATCCAGGTTGCTAGAATGTTGTATACTATTGATAGCTTTTAATTTGATGTTTTCAGGTTTGGAAAAGATTGACTTACATATTTGCGTATTCTTTGCATGTGAAACTCATGTGGGGAATCACTGTTAAACTAGGATGTGACATAAATATTAGCTTAAAGCATAAAGTATTATAGTCAATTGATGATTAGTTCTTACAGATTAAGATCTGAAAGTATGAGTTCTAAGTCCTTTGTGGCCATTAAAGTGTTATGTTTTAAAACTATCAATAGGCTGTTAAGTTCTGTTTGTAGTTTGAGTTTTGTTTGCATGTCAATTGGACTATAACTAGACATATTTCTTGATATTGCCAGATGGTGTCTGGGTGATGCTGAAAATCTTTGGAGAAAGAGTAAAGATTATTACAAAATTAAGGGAAGTGTAAATTGAAAAAAAAAGACTCATTTAATCATTTAAATGTGAAAGGAAGGCACCAATTGCTGCTTTAAATTTGCAGTTTGGTCAATTTGTAACTGAAACAGTTTCCACCAAGAAATGAAATCTATAATTATCTTAGCTTGTGTTAAATGAGAGCCTTAGAAACCTGTTTAGGTCATTGATAATTACTGTTATGTTGAGAATAAACATTTATAAGGTTTTTAAAATCAGTGATTAACTTGATATGTAATAAAATATTTCATTATTACAGCTTAACCTATATGATGGGTGAAGTGTAAAAACCCATATGCATTTTAGAAGACGACCTGAAAACAAACCTCTGATTTAAGAGAGGATGGGTTGTATGTGTAAATGTGATCATACAAAAATCTTTATTGTGCTTGGCTTATTTCACTTAGCATGTCACTCAGACTGAGTATTTAAGATACATTGATCAGATTGACTTATTCATTCTGCATTACATGCATATGTTATATCATATTGAATCTAGCAAATGTATACAATTGTAATTTGTCATTCTACAATACACGTTTTTAAAATAAAATAAATAAGCAAAATATGTGGGGAAGACAATTCTAACATCAATGTCTTGTTTTGAGGGTTCTATAATCAGCTAATGATTCTATGAAGAATATTTCAGAGTTAATATGTTTGGCTTGGCAAACTTCTACTATAAAGGAATTAGAGATAAGGAAATGCTTATTTTATTTTGTTCTGTAGGCTATACAGTCATAAGGGTATATAAAACGTTTCCTTTTTTAATTACATGGATAATTTAAGGTCTGGGGTTGCTTTGATCCTGTGCATTTTATGGCTGTATTTATTAGAAACACTAGTATCTCAAGTTCTTTAGTTAGGGATGGATCGTGATGCCCCTGCACTTTCCTATTAATAGTTTTAAATGAACCAATCTAGGTATAATATGGAGATAAACCTCATGCAAGTTAACATTACTTGTTCCTTACAGCCTTTATTAAAACTGGGACTTCATTAAGATAAAAACTTTCCTGTGTTGCTAGTGCTGTGGCCCAATGGGTTAAGTGGCTGCCTGCGAAGCCAATATCAACATGGGTCCTAGTCCAAGTCTTGCCTGCTCCACTTCCTATCCAACTGCCTGTTGATGCTTCTAGGAAAAACAGTGAAAGATGACCCAAGTACTTTTGTATCTCCCACGCATGTGAAAGACTGGGAATAAGCTTCTAGTTCCTTGCTTTTGATTCATTCAACCTTGGCTATTGCAGCAATTTGGGGAGTGAACCAGCAGATGGAAGATAAATCTCTTAGTGTGTGTATGTGTGTGTGTGTGTGTGTGTGTTTGTGTGTGTATGCACGTGCAAGCGTGCACGCACCTGCAGTGTATGTCCCGTTCTCTACCATTCAAATAAGCAAAACACATTTAAAAACATAAAACCTGCTCTGTGAAGCACACTGTTAAATAATTAAAAGACAATCCATAAAATGGGAAAAATTCTGGCTGTAAAGTTTTTTTTTCTTTTTTTCTTTTTTTTGAAGTGTTTATGTTACTGCCACTGTTGTTTTGAATAAAGAAATTTAGGGAACCTCTGAATACATTCTCTACAAATTGTTTTCTGTTTTATTTTTTATGATAGGAGAAGAAATCAGAAGTAACAGAGTGCAAAAAAAAAAGGATGCTATTAATAGCTGATAATTGTGTGGGTTAACAACAAAAATGTTATCTATTATAGAATTTCTATAGTCTGTGATAATTTACAGAAATTATGGGCAAGGATGTTTTAGAACATCTTTAAAAGATTGATGGTTTCTGGGCTTATTTCCAAAATAGGGCAAGGTTACTGTAGATGTATGAGTTTAAAATGCATTTTAAAGTGCCAGGGTTTGCTTATAATCATGTTAACATCTGTAATCCTAGGCTAACTTTCTTCAGCTCTGCACACAAATAACCCACTTACCTCCTGCAAATCTCAGCCTATTTAGGGGCAAGTGAACAAAGATTTTAATTGTCATCTTTTACAGTAAGCATATTTGGTGTAGTCACTACTAGTTGAGTGTCGACAATACTTGAAATAATTTTTAACGGAGGAAAAATGTAGGAAAATTATTTCAAAATGCATAAACAAACAAATGAAATTCTCTGTACTACTAAACAATGCTAGTGTTGTCATTAAAACAGAAAGCAAGTTGAAATTTTAATGGTGAATTTGGTTTTTATTAATAAGGATTTAAAATTAGAACTGTGAGCATTCATTTTAGGTTTGCATATAAAATAATATTGCATATTCCAAGTTTTATTTTTCTCAATAATTTCGAAGCTTATACAGTCTGCAACCTGCTTTACCAGCACGACTAATTCTCTTAAAGAAAATATGGAGCCAAGAAATTATCAGCACATTAATACATTACAGTGAATAAAATGAATGTTACTTTCTATTCTTTAAGCACATGATATATGGCTTTAATATTTTTATCTGCTTTATGTATAAAAATTCTTTTCATTAATAGTTTGGGAGTGAAAGTAAGAATAAAACACACTTATAATAAAATTTATAAATATTGAAACATTTAAAATATTTAGGAATGTCAAATCCCATATACATGATTAGTGGCAAAAAAAAACACCCTTGATTTATTTTACAGAAGCAAGTGATAATGATTTTGGATACTTTTACAAAATGATTTCATAGTATCACATTGTAGCAAGTTTAACATGTACTGTCTCTTTTAGGACTGGATCTGCCATTTATGATGATGCCTCATCCCCTACTTCCAGTCAGCTTACCTCCTGCTTCAGTTGCCATGGCAATGAATCAGATGAACCATCTCAATACTATTGCCAACATGGCTGCTGCAGCCCAGATTCACAGTCCACTCTCCAGAGCTGGTGCCTCTGTTATTAAGGTAAGAATCACGATTTAGAAGAGAACAAAGGTGTTAATTATATGTGAATTTTGATAAAAGATTAGCCAAAGCCCTGGATCTTCAGTAGTAAAACACAGCTCATTGACTCAGTTGGTAAGTGTACAGTATTGATGAGTTTAGTTTCTGTCTAGGCCTGCAAGGTGTTTTGTTTCATTGCTGTTTGTTTCTTTTCATTCCATGACAACATATCTCAGTTTTAACTCTCCCTTCCTCTCTTACACTCATGTGCACAGTGTGTTTGGCGCATAACCAGACTAAAGACAGAGCAGAATAGTGTGCAAAAAACATTCCCATTTCTGTGGTGAAACAAATTGAGCACTGGGGATCTTTTTGGAGTGTTATAGATAGGTAATTTTGAGAGAATATACCACAAAGTCAGACAGACTGGGGTTCAATTTTGAGTTTCAACGTATTAGGTGAAAAACCATGGACGTGCTATCTAACCCACTGGAATGTATTCCTTCAACAATAAAATTTATGTTACAGTAAAGATAGAACCTACTTCATTCATTCATTATCTGAAAATAATGCATATAAAATATTTGTTAAATCTAGTGAAATATTAAATATTGATCATGTTATGGTCATCATTAAAATCTACTTTTCAAAGGTTTAGGGACATTCAGATAAACATAAGTGATATTTTATTATTTCTCCTGATTCTTATTCATTTGGCACGTGGCATCTCTACCTTCTCTAAATATCACATGTACTAGGCTTTGAAATATTTTTTTTCTCTTTTGCTGAAGAAATGATATAAGGATATATAATATTTGAAGCTCATACATGATACAGCAACACATGAATTCTTCCTTCATTTTTTTCAACAAATATACCTTATATATGTCATTATATTGCAAAATATGTTAACATACTAATTTAGGAATATTCTCTGACTTACATGTACATGGAAACTAAATGTGAAACAAACAAGTACCCACTTAACTTACTCTAATAGGATATATTTTGATTGACAACATAAGAAAACTATCAAGTATTGCAGGTATGTGTAAGAGATAGTGGTCAAACTTAGCAAGTAGGAAAAATGGAGCACATTTCAGGAAATAATTGCAATTGATTGATTTGAGTTTTGTACTATTGGTAAGATAATAATGAATAGGCATGGAGGAAAAAGAAGTGCAGCTGGAGAAAATTGACATTGTTGACATTTTTGCTCCATTTGAAAAATAATGTCTAGTTTGAGGCGCTCCTAAAATCACTGAATAAAATGTGAAACATAACCTTTGTAAGAAAGAGAAATAAAATCAATCCTCTGTTTATAACAACAGATAAGTCAAAATCTGTTTCTTATAAAGATTGTGTCTGTTAATGGATTAGGCTATCCCCACAGATCAGAACTCTGTTTTTCAATGTTTGACCAAAATGTAATTGACAATTAGAGTTGTCTATAAGAATGAAATTTCCCATGAACATATTTTAAAGAGTGGAATATGTTTCCCATAGTTGTGAAATAATATAGTTACTAAGAGAACATGAATTCATATACAAATTAGGAAAATGCATTAAGAAAGTAAAGGCAGTTGAAAATAATAATATTTTCATTCACTCTTTAATTGATGGAAAGGAAGTCTTAATGGAGGTATGTTTGCAGCTCTTCCAAAGTACATTTGATCAGTTTTGTAAAATCTGACACATTCTGGATGAAATTTTTGGACCAGTTAGGAGGTCTGTGAATATTTTGTAGTGGAGAGGCAGTAGGAATAGGATTCATGACTACAATCTGGTCATTGATGGTGATGATTATAGTTGTGGAAAAAGAAAGGATAATTATCTTCTCCTTAATCCAATTTTTTATGATTAAAACAATGTAATTTTGATTTTTGCAACTTAGTCCATTTCATGAACAACTTTCTCTAAAAAAAAGAACTGTCACAAATGAAGCTTGATACTATCTTTTAAATGTGGGTGTTTGATTATTTGCTTGTATAAGTGCTTCAAAAGCATAGAAATTACTGTATGCTTAAGGAAAATGTATCTACTTTCAGGTATTTTGACTACTGGAAACTGAAAGAAATGCATTTCATTCAAATGTCTTCAACAAAATGTATCTATAAATCTATTTAAATGATCTCCATTGGTGAATAATAGGAAAATGAAAAGGAAGAAAAAATGATTTCAGTGACTAGCATAAGGATTTTAATTGAGGTGTGAATGTTTTATTTACCTACATAAATTTCAGTTACAGAGAGAAAGAGAGAGAGACAGAGAGAGAGAGAAAAATTTTCTGTCTGTTGGTTGACTCCCAAGATGGCCCACAATGGCCAGGGCTGGGTAGGCCAAGCTGAAGCCGGAAGCCAGCAACTTTATCTAGATGATAGGGCACAAACACTTTGGCCATCCTCTGATGCTTTCCCAGGTTCATTAGTAGGAGAGCTGAATTCCAATGAAGTAGCCAGGACACACAGTACTTTTCCTGCTATACCATAATGATGGCCTCAAGGTTTTTTCTTTCTTTTTTTTTTTTTTTTTTTTTTATAAGTACTTTTGGACTTTAATAGCTTTAAAATAATAATTTACAAGAAAAATTATAGTGGAAACAAGCATTGTGGCACATCAAATTGAGCTGTCAATGGAGACAATACCATCAACCTGTATCAGAGTTTCATAGGGATTTTGTCTACTTACTTCCAATCCAGTCTCCTGTTACATTACCTGTGAGCTAACAGGATGGTCTAAGTATTTGAGTTTTTGTTGCCCACAGAGGCGGCCTAGATGGAGTTCCAGTATTTTGGCTGCAAATGTTAGCAAGTTGGCAAGTGATCCAAATAATGGAAGATTCATTTCTCTCTCATTTTAACTTTCAAACAAACATTTTAGAAAAACAAACTATAGTTTAAAAAAAGTCTTCTAATTTACAGATGCGCTTTTGCATGTTAAAGTCTCACTTTCTTTGTGAGAAAAGTTAACAATGTGATATCAGCCATACTCCTTTGATACCCAGTTATAAAGACATAAATTTCACACTTTTATTCATGTGTCTTTCAATGGAATTTGCTCTTAATGTTATTCATGATGAAGCACAATCTCAAGGTTCATTGTATTAAAATCTTGTATTACTTGAGCAGATCTGTGTGAGATTTATCATAGAAATATTCAAACAAAAGCATGTATATTGTTTGCATTTACAAATTCATACTACTAGTTAACTTAAAAAACACAAATATTGATATTAGTGTTACTCATTGCTGTATAAAATAATTAAATTTAAGTGCATATTTTCATCTTTTATATATCAAATTTACCATTTAGAATTAAATATCCTTCCACAATATTTGTAAGACATTTAATATTTAGTAATAAATGCCACAACTATGAAATTAGATTTCTTTCAATCATATCCACTATAAACCATGGAAAGTAAAGCAAATCCACTATAAACTATGAGAAATAAAATTGATTCCTAGTCCCACTTTTCTATGTATCATTTGATAAATGTAAAATATATCTTCAAAAGTATTTTTTTTCAATTTATAGCCACAGTAATAGAATGGGGCATGCTATAAAAGGCGGCCATAGTATGTCTTTATATTAACTGAAATTTGTGAAAAATTATGAAAAGTGACACGAAAGTTATTGATTAATTTAAATTGTTCCTGTTTGTTTTCTCTAAGTTTATTTTTTGCTTTCAGTAAAACTTTCCTTTTAATTAATATCACTTAAAAAGCCTTTGAGTTTAAAACAAAACAAAAAAGCAAGGTGTAATACTGAAGTGACTTTCTCCAGCCCGTCTAGATACCTGCCACGCTTCTCCACAATGTCAGCTGTGCTAGTAATTGTTATTGATAAGCATGAGATTATAATTACAATCTCCATTTAAAATAGATCTTTAAAAATATTAGGTTGTAATATTTTAAATATTAAAAAAAATATTAGGTTGCATGGAAGATATCAAGTAAGTGAATGATTGGCTGCACAAATGATACCTATTTCCAGTTTTTGGCATTCCTAGTCAAAGAATCTGGAAGCAACTAGTCTAGTCTTACTTTTTACTCTTCTGCTTTCTTTTCTGCAAATTAATCTTATATTTTATATATCTTGTTTGTGCATGTACATATAGCACTTTCCTTGTATGGTCTACATATAAAGTCTGGTTAGACTTATCTATAAATTGTGTAACTTCTTTGTTTTAATTCAGGAGAACAAATTTGTCATCTATCAGTAAGCTTATCTTGGAAAATAATTGAATCAGTAGAAATCACAGATGTATGGTTCAAAAAGTTTGTTGGTTTTCTATAATTTTGTCTCCATTAACTGAATCCTTACTATGTATTAGGTAGTTATCCAGGTGCAAGCTATAATGTGTGAGGGAAATAATAAACAGAATAACCCTAGAAATTTTAATTCTTCATTAAAATTTCAATATACAGGGCCTGGCACAATAGCATAGTGGTTAAAGTCCTCAGCTTGTGTATGCTGGGATCCCATATGGTCGCCGGTTCTAATCACGGCAGCCCCACTTCCCATCCAGCTCCCTGTTTGTGGCCTGGGAAAGCAGTCAAGAATGGCACAAAGCCTTGGTACCCTGCACCCACGTGGGAGACCCAGAAGAGTTCCTGGCTCCTGCCTTCAGATTGGCTCAGCTCCAGACATTTCGGCCGCTTGGGGAGTGAGCCATCGGACAGATCTTCCTTTCTGTCTATCCCCATCTCTGTATGTCTGCCTTTCCAATAAGTAAATAAATAAATAAATCTTTAAAAAAAATCAATGTACAATAAACTCCTAAATTTTGCTCTGACATTGGAGCAGATTTATTTTTTATCCCCTGCCAGACCAAAGGTCCTGAGTTATAAACTGAAAGGAAACTACATAGAGTGTTTTATGTTTTTCTACCATCTGTGTGCTGAAACTTTTAATAGCAGATGCTTTGTCACGGTAGCATTTTTGACTCTGTTTTCTCCAGGTCCTTAACAAGAATGTCGTGAGAGGCAGGCAACAGTGATTCCATGTGTGTCAACAAA